GATCTTTTAGAAAGATTTTTGATATCTTAGTATTTTTGAAATCTAATTGAAGCTCATCTTCTGTTTGCGTTCGCCGTTATCTTATCGATATCACCATCTATTAGAAAGTTCACAGGCATTGCTATAGTTTCTATGAGGTTTTATTTCTTAGTACGTTTGTGAGAGAATATAATTATATCGCATTAGGTATGAAAATCAAGATAACTTGCATTCTCTCTTCGTGCAAACTATTGATTACCTTTAGGGAATTTTCGAAATATTTTCAAATCCTTGCCATCAATACTATATTTATCGCAGTATTGTGACATAGTTCGAATGTCTTAAGATTGACTTGAAACAATAGATAATCAAGATAATTCAGAGAAATCAGTTTGAATTTCGGACAATAGTCTCTTTACGAGAGGACCTCTCCAACTGCTACATTTCGACGCGATTTGATATGTCAACTGATTCATGGTCATTTTATAGCGTTGTGGTAGCAACAACCAAAGCAAAACCTGCCATTTCTTTTGTAAAGAACGATTATATTTTATTACCAAAAGTTTCATTATCAATTTTGCATGCCGTAAACTATGAATCAATAAAAATCAAGGATAGCACAATACTTATCGTTATGCATCATTGCCTTCCATTTTTAAGTCAACAAAATTACAATTGTCCTGATTTAAAATTGTCTTTCAACAGGTCTTTCCATTTAACTTCGAGCGTATGCACACAAAGTCTTTTTTAAACGTCGGATATATTAAGTCAGCGAACAATGGATGAAGTAATCGATATTTGTGCTCTCGGAAAGGCTTAAGCACCGTGTCTTTATCAAAATCATCATCATTGTCATCAAGCTGCATCGGAAATTCAAGATAGAGACGACGAAGCGCAGGAACGTTTGTCGTCAAAATACGTGCCAGTCTCTCGTACTCTTGAAATAGTTCTTTCGTTGGATCTATAGGAGAACTGTAAACAGTCAAGGTGAATGATTTGAGCTTTGGTACTCGTTTGAGATGATAATCAATATCATCCAAATTGAATCCGTAGCGAAAATTCATTTTCAAATGACGAAGAATATCATGATGCATTATGAGAGAAGAAATGGGTATGCCACCTCTGGACCAATAATAATCAATGTCAAGAGAAACAAGATTGAGGCAGGTAATAAGCAATCGACCAAAATCGGTATCATGCGCAAGAGTCAGAGAGCGTAACATTGGTAGACTAACGTTGCACACATTTGGAATTGGGCACAAATTTGGTCCTTCAGCAATGTAGCATTGTTCCAACACTGGAAATACATATTTGGTAAAGAAAAGCGACAAAAGTTCCTTTTCAATGTGATTGCTCTAGTGTAGTAATGTATACTTCTGATGACCTGAGAGTGCGAAACATGTTCAATGGATAGTCGTCACTCGAATGAACAACTGAACATTCAACATTTGAAGTGAAGAATTGAACAGCATCTTTCTTAATTTCATCGGCTGTGAAGCCAAATGTTAAACACAGATGATTAAGAGAGTGTAATATGGAATTCATTTGTGCATTCAAATTCAGAAAACTGTAGTGCAGTTTATCACGGTTAAAAAATTAGAATATGTAGTGGAACAATTCATTCGGCAACTCTTCCAGTTGTGTTGGTCGAATACATGCATTCATTCTTCAGTAAAAAAGATCGTTTCGCAATGTAAACTTCTTTGCTTATATGTTTTTGCTTCACAGAGAATAAAAATGTGGCACCAAACTTGTTTGTATTGCTGTCTATCGGCAGGAGAAACCGTGTGCGGCAACCAATGCTGCCAGTTTTCATCAAGATGACGTTACTCTTTTGTATGAATATCAGCAATGGTTCACTTTCAGGGTCTGTCTCAATTTGAAATTCTACTTATTCGCACGAGAACTTGTCGAACAAAATTACAAGATGACATTGTGTGTAAAACTGATGTTGATAAGTGACATATTTCGTTAGCATACAAGAAAAAAAGACGCTGTTATTTAGTTATACACACCTGATGTACAAGAAACTGAACAATAGGTAACTAACAATCAAATTACTATGCCCAGGCTAGAAACTAGTAGCATAAATTTTCTTATTATCAATATCAGAAAACAAAAAAAAGTATCGTCATCTCTTTTTATGTAGGAATTCCTCAAACAAAGAGATTTTCAGGGTGTGGATGTAGGTCTGTTTGGTAGGACTAACCACATCCACACTCACACCCACACCCTCTCCTTTATTCAAACGAAAACTTTTTTCAACGATTTTTTTTCTCAAAAATTAGCGTATGTTTTTTTATACTTTAGGAGGCTATCTGGCTTCAATATAAAAGAACGACAAAGTGTTGCGTCTCTTGTTTATGTTTTGATACATAGTCAGTGTCAAAGCATGATTGCATTTAGTCAACAAATGTTTTGTGAAAAAAATACTTTCATTTTCTCTTCGAACGAAGCAATGCAACGCTTTCTTGTTCTTCTCTACTATTTCATTCTGCATGAACATAATCACATTGTTTCTCGATCATGCAATCTATTATAATGAAATAATAAAAGAACGAAGACTCACTTGCTACAATAAAACTTTTGAAAGATTATGGCAGTAAAACATTCGAACGACAATGTTTTCATGAAGAAATAAAACTGTGAACGAGGTACTTTGATTTCAAAAGCGAATCCAGTACAATTAAATAACGAGCAATGATCGGCTAAATGAGGATGGTGTATGAGTGTTGTCTTCTCTTCACTCACGCTCATACTGTATGCAATGAATAAATGAATATTTGTTGGAAGCAAGAGATGTAGAGAAATTAGTTCATCTTCTTACATAAAGATTGTTTCTTTCTTTTGTTGACATTTTTTTCTGTCCCTTTTAATGGGAGTATTTTGTTTGCTGCTGAAGGATTTCTCATCATTGATTTTAAGACTGCTCGTGAAGCAAGTCTGCATCAAAGGGCAACAACAAAAATTAATACATCGTCATTGAAGGAAGAAGAAGAAACGAAAAATCAAAATAGAATGAATATTGTTGTCATTGTTGCTAAGCTTGTTTTCCCCACATAGTAGTGGGTATGTACAACTAGAAGCCACGTGTTCGAAATCGATAAGATTTGTAAAATAAAGACATTCATTCTCGCGATTTTTTTTTTAACAAACAAACAGTCACTCATTTCAAAAGTGCTACTTCCTCTTATCATTGATTGACTCCTTGTTTTGCTTATGGATGTCATGCTATTGAAACTCATTCGATGAAAAAAAAATCCGACAGCAGAATGTTGAAAACGTGTGGTGAGTGAGATGGATGATAGATGATTTGAAACAACGTACGCATTGATCCTCACTCTCACCCATATACTCATCGTTATTGTTCTATCATACGATATCACGAAACATACTGACTTGATGAAATAATCTTTAACGAAAGATATTCACTTTTGTTTCGTTTTTCTTCCAGATCGACAGTTAAGTAGATATAAACTAATCATTTTTTATAAGTTCAACAGAAAGACTTGATTTTGCATAATAAATAAAATTCAATACAAAAAATATATTACTGATTCATTTAGATTATTAAGTATAAAATACAATAGACAAACAAAAAACATAAACAACCATTTTATACATGAATACAGTTCGGTGAAATATACAATAGACTGTTCGCACTAGTAAATATTTTTCTATAAGTGTAGACGTAGATAAATATAATTTATTTATTATCTATGCATTAAATGCGGTTGGTGAGATATAACTTGTATTTTCGGAACATGGATTACTAGGTTTGTACGTTCTCTCATATTGTATTTAACAATCAGTTTTTTTATCACAACCTCAGTTGTATTATTCTTGTAGAACGAAAATGATCTTATATTACTTTTAAAAAGCATCAATAACATTCTTTCTATTAGTATTGAAGTGAGTGAATCAATCCATTTTTCAAGTAACTATTATACTATATAATGAAACTATCTACAATCATGTTCAATTAAAAACTATTTTTTCATGTTTGTCTCAAACAATCAAGTACTTCTTCGGTCAAATTCATTCGTCCAAATAATGTTTTTTTAGATGTAATTCAAGTGACTGAAAAAACTATAAAATACCTATTTTAAGCATGCAAACTGTCATTCGAAAGAAAACTGAACTCTCAATCGATTATCAATTGTGTGCTTACATGATTTATAAATCAGAAGTACAAAACGAAAATTTCTTTCAGCAACAAAATATCGCTATGACGAACCAGAATATCTACCAGTTCGTACATTTAGATCATTGCAACATATAACATAATCAGACACGATCATTTAACACTTATTGGAAATACATGATCAGCTGCCAACTCTGATGCAAGAAAGCATGTATATATAGAAAAGAATAATCATGTTCATACACATGCCATAGACAGGAAGAAAAAGCAGAAGTTGAACATGTACGAACAGAGTGAGCATTGCATGATAAAGTTAGTGATATCTTATCACTTATATACATAACTCAAAGGTAAATCAACAATTCTGATGATAACCAAAAATATACTCTGATAACGAAATAGAGAGCATTGAAGAAGATGTCGGCAAACGCGAGTGAATTGAGAACTGCACTACCTATGTCTGCTTCATTTTCTTTGAAATTTTCTTAACACTTTAACCGACGTCATCTGTCGATATATATTAGATTAATGTATACTATTCGAAGAGTAAATACTGATAGTGAATAATGCAGATTTTCAATAATAAATTCTTTTTATCGAACATGAAAATGATCTCGTCCATTTCTAAATTCATACTGGCAAAAAACAATATTTAGCGACTTTTTCATCTTTATTCTATTTAAGGCAGTTTTACATAATTTCATTTAATACAAAGACATGAAAATTTATGAAAATCTTCATCATTAGAAACCTCAAAGATCTGCTGTTTTGCCTTTCTAAAATAATTGTTTTACTTATTTTTTAAGATCTAATACTCATAAACAATACGCTATTCGGATATTTTCCTCAATTGTCATTTATTCATCCTTGCAAAACAATGAAAAGTAAGAATAAAGTTCAAGTTAATTCATCATTAAGACAAAAACCATCAATTAAAGCTAATAATTCCTCATTCGAGATTGATATTATTGATAAAGAAATAAAGAAAGAACTTTTAAATGATTCAGGAATTTCAATTGATCAACATCAAAGTGCACCATTAAAAAGTCGACGTTTTTCACCATCTTCTGATAAAGTAATTATAAATTCTAATGATCAAAATTCAACAATTTCACGTAAACAACGAAAACGAAATTGTCAAATTCGCAAACAACGACGTAAACAATTTATTTATGAAAAAGAATTAATTAATAAACAGCAATTATCAGTACTTTTTTTGTCAACAACAAAATTTATTATTGAAACAAGACGAAAAAAATGTAAAACATTTGTTTGATGAATATTCAAATGAGACTATTCATAAAGAATGGAAACCATTAACAATTGAACAACTTAACGAACTTTATCAATGTGCTTTTGATAGATATCATCAAAAAAACTATTAATAATTAAAATTTTCTTCTTATCTTATTATTAAAAATAATTATTTATATAAATCTTACTTTTTTTTGTGTCTGTACATACTGTGGGGTTTTCAAAAGTTTAAGAAAAATTGATTAGGCAATTTATAGTTTGTCTTATATACAGTACTTTGAAAAATTATAGTATTGTCTATTTGATTTCAGTTGTTAGCTCGTTCTCTGTCAGTTTAGACTTCCAAGAGAAGCAAAGCCCATGCGATTGCATGTGTTCGAGTACGCTCTATACAACTATCATGTAGATTGTGAAAAAGAAATACCGTTGAATTATCATCACTGTGATCATCGGCTTAATGGAAAACACGATGAACTGAAATTTCATAAATTGGTATTTCACCGTATAAAGTTGGGCAATACGCACATCAGTCAGAACTGTAGTAAATCAGTTGTATATCAGTTAATATGATATTGAATTTTTCGAAAAATTGTTATAGGCTTGTCTCCTAGATGCTTGCATTTTCTTTTCTTCTTCTTGATCTTTCTGGTTGTAGGTGCAGATGTTGATATTCTTTAAGTCACACCCACATCCCACACCCGAATAATTCTATTCTTGGCTACGTTTCTCCTGTGTAGATTTTATTTGTCTCTAATAAACTATAAAAAACGATGTGTTTGAGGTTTCTGATGAATTTCAAAGATATCGAACTTTTTCATCATTTTGAACAATATCACCGATCATTCAAAACTTATCGCACAAATTGAATACTTATTGAATACAATATAAATAAGATGTGAATATATCCATGCTTGGATATTTTGAAGACGATCTTTTATATTTAGAAGATACATTGAATTAAATTACAGTAGAAATTTCATTTAAAAAAGCTTTGATGTTTCTATTCAATCGAAAATGTAATGAAGAAGAGAACAAATTTATGATCTCACTCGAAGACTACAAGTAATGAGCTCGGTTATGTAAAAACAAAATGAAATTTTCGATTGATAATATTTAACATATGAAGCAACAATATTTATGTTAATTATGATTGGCCAGACGATTTCCATTAAGATGACAAAATGCCTTCAATGGTGATGGATAAGTACTTTTTCTTTGATTACGTAATTGCTCTATCGTTGGTCGTAAAGCAAAGGTCCTTTCTCATCGGTGAGTGAAGTGGTAAGTTGAGCAATGTTTTTGTCTATTGAACGTTCATCATCATCCCATATATAAGGATGTGATGGATCAATATCAGCCTGAATGACAGTACGAACTGCTTCATATGTAGGAATAGTTGCTTTCGAAAGAAACAAACGTAGATCATAAGTATTTTGATCAATTTTGGCACGTAAATCAACAGCTTGTATGATAAAGAGAAAACAAATAGAGATGTATTATCGGAAAACATCGATCGATTCACGAGCAAGTAGAGCTGACATATATTCCATAGAATTAATATTCTGATTGTATTGTTCAGCATGCATAGGAAATTTATCAGCCATTGATTGACCAAGAAAGACTAAATAGGGCATTATTGAATTACCACATAACTGAAGTGATTTAAGTCCAATATTAACCGATCGATCTTTATTTCCAATTAAGCATACAGGAAGACCATTACTGAATTCAGGTGTAATTAGTTGAGCTATTTAAACATTCAAATGTTTAGCCATTAAACCTAAAGATTGACGGAGACGATCCATTGATATACTAACATGTTCTCCGAGAAAGTTTCCACCCTCTATACAAAAGAATATATTACTTTAAAATACATGATTATAGAAAACGTTTGGCTCATTTGCGTTTGAATCTAACCGAATTTCGATATATAAACATTACGGTAACTGTCCCAGATGTCCTTTAGAAAATGTCCTTGACGAAATGTCCCCCAATTTAAGTTTTTTAGAAAATGTCCTTCAAGAAAAATATCCTTTAAGAATATGTCCTTTAGAAATTGTCCTTTTCTCATTTGGTCCTCGGTCACAATGTCC